GGGGGGACGTGGTCACTATTTGGCAGGGTTTTTCAGAGGTGGAATCTGAACTGAGGCAACTTCCAGAGGAGGGAGGTTGGAATGGAACTTTCCACCTAAACGTTGGAGGTGGAGTCTGGACTGAGGAAACTACCAGAAGAGGGGGCTCAGGATGGAACTTTCCACCCAAATATTCCAGACTTTTTGGATATATGGACGCCAGGGGCTGAGGTGAAGCCATAACCCCAACACTCTGTCTTTTTTTTTTTTTTTTTCCTCCTGAGACAGGCTTTCTCTGTGAAACAGTTCTGTCTATCCTGGAACTTACTCTGTAGACCAGGCTGCCCTCGAACTCAGAGATCTACCTGCCTCTGCCTCATGAGTGCTGGGACTAAAGGCATGTGCCATTACCAGCTGGCTTCGATTTTTTTTAACCAGATTTGAATATAGTCATGCTCACAGCTATGATTTAATACACTATAAGGATGCAAATCAGAATCAGTAAAAAGGAAATTGCATGGGATAAAGTCTAAGGAAAGCCAATTGTAAAACTGTGTGGTGGTAAAACCTGATCCTGGTACCTCTGGAAGTGGAGCCAAGAGGGTCATAAATTGTCAGAAGCCGGATGTGGGGGGAGGGGAGAGAAAGCAAGAAACCAAACAACTAAAAGAAAAGAAAACAACAAAAAAAACTAAAGGTTTAAAGGAAAAAACAAACAAACACTAGCTTCAGAGCTGCCCCACACCATCCCAATAGAGTTGTAAGGGCTCATTCCCAGCAACAAGCCTTGGAAAGTGTTGCCTTCTGGGAAAGCCCACCGAAAGCCTTAATCCAAGGACTCCATGTTTCCACAGCAAGCACTTTACAAACTGAGCCATCTCCTGAGTGCTCTTAGCAATTTATAATTCTCTTCGGCAAAAAGTATAAACTTTTGTTTGTTTTTTCAAGACAGGGTTCCTTTGTATAGCTCTGTATTAGCATTAACTAATAAATTAATTAGCTCTGTAGACCAAGCTGGCCTCAAACTCACAGAGGTCCATCTACCTCCCAAGTGCTGTGATTAAAGGTGTTTACCACCACCGGAATAAACACACTATTTAATGTCATATTTTGTCCTCCATCTCCTGAGAGCTGGGATTACAGGTGTAAATCACAACTCCAAATTTATGGTTGGCATTTGAAATAAAGGGGACCTAGAGTAATCTTTTGGACACATTTAAATGTATGGTGCTAGAAGCTATGCAATGGTTTCAGTGCCCAGGTTCAGACGTCGTTAGGCAGACAGTTCTGCGGTTGTTGATAACCACAGCAGCTTAGCACTGAAGAAAGAATTTCACAAAACCACACGTTTCTGTCCCCGTGTTAATTCGATACTACATTTACAATGAATACCAACTCTTTGAAAGAAGCGGTGTGCCAGCCATTGTTCATCGGTGATTAGCACAGATGTTTGCAGACTGTAGTGCCAGCAGCTAAGTGTGTGCTTTCGTGGTTACTCACAGTTAATGTACCCCAGTAACCAGGAGTCTGGGTCATGTTTTCACATTGGGGCTGTCTAAACCGTGATAAGCAACCAGGACCCCTTGCATTCAACTACAATCCTGCTATACATGGGAGTCGGAATTGTGCAAATCCAAATGTGATTATGCAAGTTTTATGTTATTCCCTAAGTTCCAGCTATTAAGTTTCTTAATATTTTGGGCTTTATTTTTCATTTTTATTTTTGAAATGGTCTCTCTATGTAGCTCAGGCTAATCTCATATTAAAATTTCAAAAGCGGTGAATACCAAATTGTTATTACTATACAGCACCTCTTTTCTCTAGCACAAAAAATTTATTTCACTCTTCAGCCTCTTATAAAGGGTTTATGGGTGCTCTGAGACTTTCGTGGGTGATTTGCTAACTTGTACTGCTATTGTATTACTCAGTTATTTTTAAAAATCCGAATATTTATAATAAATTTTGGTCGATTCTGGAATCGGACTCGCGGTCTTTGCACTTACTTGGCAAGGACGAGTAATCTCTCCACTGACCTCTGCTCCAAGCCAAATGGAAATGTCGGGATTGTTTCCTGAAAAGTTATGTATGCCCTTTATTTTTTTGTTCTGTTTTCTGAAAGTTTTTTTTTTCTTTTTTAAATGTACAAAGATCTGGTGCGTGCTAATCTGTAGGACAGAAACTGCGCACTCGTGTTCAGCCTACATTTCCGGATCCGATCCTGGCGGTCTGTGCAAGCGCCGAAAGAGCGACAACCCTGGCCGAATGACTCATCCTGCTTTCCCGGGTCCAAGCGGGGAAAAGGAGACAACTCGGATGCGCATGCGCGCTCCGAAGTTTGTGGCATTCCCGCACCGCAAATCTTGTTTTTGTAAAAGTCACCAAAGGGAGGTGCTGGGGACGGAACCCAGGGCCTCACGGAGCTAGGCGAGCACTCCTGCCAGCCACTTTCACTGGCTGGGCTGCATTTTGATCTACACATTCTGGTGCGTAGTTCTGCGAGGACAGCATGCCATACCACGCTAATGCCATCACTACCCCCGCCACGACCTCCTGTGAGCACCCGGCTGTCACTAGACTTTTCCTCCCCGGGGCCACATACGTCCCCGGACACTGGCGCTCGGTTGCTACTGCGCACGCGCGGCGTCCCGAATCCTCTCCGCCGAGGGTACAGCTCGCCCTCTGGCGCGCAGCGCGAGAACGCCGGATGTTGCTCTTGCGCACGCGCAGTGCAGGTCAGGCCTGAGCGCGGGAGCGCGATTTGGCGCCAAGGAGAGGGCGCGCCCGGCGGACTGCGCAATCAGCGGCTTAAATTGCGTGCGCTCGTCTCCAGGGTTTGCAGGAAGCCCCGCGGGGGACCCACGGGCCTCGCCACGCCACTTGTCGCCGCCGTGTGAACTTCGCCCCCTTAAGGCGCTTGTACTTTTCGGGTTTGTGGTGTCTCCAGGCTTTTGAATCATACTTTATAATGGAGGACGCCATACCCGGTGTGAGCTAGCCCGACAGAATTGGATATCGGAAGTTCGTAGAGCGGCGCCCGGAAGTGGTTCTTCAAGTTTACTAGTGTGGTAAACCCGATTTTAGTCCCCAGAAGTGTGAGAGGAGGTGTATAGGTGTGTAGCTGACCCAGCTGTGAAGCCATTAGGGTTGCGTGCAGAGCCCGCCATCTTTCACACTGTGCCCCTATTCCAACGCTAAGGTGTTGATGCAGACTTACTCTTGCTTCAGAGATGGTATGAGGGACATTATTCTGGAGCCGCATATGAGTGACTATGGCCCGGGATAAGAGATTCAGGTCACCCCAAATTCCATGTTTAATCTAGTGACAACTGGATGAAGTGTTAAAAATAACAGAACAACGTCATAAATCAAGAAAGACATTTGACATGCTTTGAATCGAAAGAATTTACTTGTGAGCCATGTCTCCCCCCTCCCCACGCACGCGCGCGCATCTAGCACCACAATAACCTTGAGCTTCATAGTCATAGTAGCCCATCTTTACCTGTGTCTTGGGCCCTAGCCTCTTCAGTGCATGCTGGAAGTCTGAGTTTGAGCCTCACTTTCATGTGACAAGTACCAACCGGCTGTTGAACCGGCTTCTGTGCACACTAAAATATTCTTTGTGGCCAGATGGTGGTGGCATTCGCCTTTAATCCCAGCACTCAAGAGGCAGAGGCAGGCGGATCTCTGTTAGGTCGAGGCTAGTTTCCGGACACAAGATCCAAAGCTACAGAGAAACCCTGTCTCGAAAAACAAACAAACAAAAAATAAAAACAAAATTAACTTGTGATTGTTTAGCTCTTGTGGTGCCATTTAAATGAAAATACCGTTTGAAGAACCAGCCTGCCTCCATCTGGGGCTCAAATGCCATCTTATAAACTAAGTTCATTTCTTTTCATGATTAAACTTGTTTTTCTATTTGACTATGCCCCACCTATAACCTTTAATTACAAATGGTTCTGTAGTGCCTGTTACAGAAATGGCAGTCGTGTTTTTGTTTCAAAAATGTTTATAACCATCTTGCAACCCTACCTTGTTTCAAATGGGTTATATGACCACTGTGTCTACCTTGTTATGCACACCTTGCAAACATGTCTGTTTCAAGAGAGAAAAACTTGTTATGCTTATATTCTGCTCCAGTCATCTCCTGTTTTTCCTGGCAAATCCCCCATTCGGAAAGCCCCTATCTGTGAGCTGACCTCTCAATTGGTGCCATAGAGGGAGGCAGCCGTGTACACAAATAAAAAACCTTGCTCTAATTAATGGCTTGCTTTAATTAATTTGGCCTTGTTGATTTGCATCTGTGGTCTTTCTCCTCCCGCCTTTGAAATTAACACTTTCCCACCAGAATTGAAAATGGGATCCTATTAAGGTATCAGGTGACAACTTGCATGTTTATCTCCTTTTGGATTCCAGTTGTCTGGATTGCAGATGTCTCCGGCTACCTAACCTTGTGCCCAGCCCACAGAACTCTTACTGTAACATTTAAAAAATATGCATATTAGCCAGGCGAGGTTGCACAAACCTTTACTCAAGGTGCTTGGGAGGCAAGGCAGGTAGATCTCTGAGTTCAAAGCCAGTCTGACCTACAGAGTGAGTTCCAGGTCAGCCAGGACTACACAGAGAAACCCTGTTTCGAAATAGCAAACAAAGCTGGGTGGTGGTGGCGGCGGCGGCGGCGGCGGCGGCGGCGCGTGCCTTTAATTCCAGCACTTGGTAGTCAGAGACAGGTGGATCTCTGTGAGTTTGAGGCCAGCCCGCTCTACAAGAGCTAGTTCAAGGACAGTCTCCAAAGCTACTGAGAAACCCTGTCTCAAAAACAAACAAACAAACAAACCAAAAAAAAAAAAAAAGAAGAAAAAAGAAATACCAAACAAACAAATACCAACCAACCAAACATGCATTTCTGTATTTATTAGTTCTCTGCCTTTATTCTTTAAGATTGCCTTGGCTACTTTTTTTCTCTGTAGATCAGTCTGGGCTCAAACTCACAAGAGATGTTCCTACCTCTGCTTCCCAAGTGCTGGGTATTAAGGTGTGGGCCATCATGCCCATATTACCTTTTAATTTTGGCATAAAGTTTATAATCATCTTGTCATTTCTCTCCTTATCTATACTCTCAGACTGATGGAATTTAGTATTGCTTTAAATCTATAGATTGATTTAGGAGAATGGTCACATTAATATTAACTTTACAATTTATGAACATGACATTTTTCTCAATAGACTTTTTTTTTTTGAGAGTGTCTCTATACATAATCCTGGCTGTGCTGGAGTTCACTATTTAGACCAGGCTGGCATAACATGAGGGCCTGCTTGTTGGGGTTTCTGTCCTGCCCAGTTCCCACAGCCGGTAACCCTCAAAGAAATTACTCAGAGTTCTACATAATTTATAAACTGATTGGCCCATTAGCTCAGGCTTCTTATAAACTCTTGCAATGTATATTAACCCATTATTCTTATCTATGTTAGCCACATAACTCAGTACTTTTTTCAGTAGGGCAGGTCACATCTTGCTTCTTATGTGATTAAGACAGGACTGCAGAAAGAGCTTCCTTCTTCCCAGAATTCTCCTGTTCTTGCCCTGCCTCTACTTCCTGTCTAGCTATCCCACCTATACTTCCTGCCTGGCTACTGACCAATCGTGTTTATTTAAAACATAATTGACAGAATACAGAATTGTCCCACACCACTGGCTTGTCTTAAACTCACAAAGATCCTTCTTCCTCTGCCCCTGAGTGCTGGGATCAAAAGTGTGTGCCACCATACACTGCTCTTAGTCTAATTTAATTTTTCTCACCAACGATTATCTTCTATGGTGATGTTTTCTGTTTTGGCATAAAAAATTATTTGTATTTGAGTATTACTGGTATATAGAAATTCAAGTTGTTATTATATGTTGAACTAACTACTCAGTATCTGGTAACCTTACCATTGTTGGGGGTCTGAAACTCCCAGTCAACCCAAGCAGACACAGAGGTTTCGAAAAGAAAGATTTATTTCAGGGCAAAACGACAGAAACCGATTGATCAGGAACTACAGTACAGATTTGGGAGCTGAGTGCATCCCTTAAAGTTCATCTCAGCAAGTATTTAAGCACAAAACCTACCAACATCTGTGCCAAATTACAGTTACATTTTTCTACCAATCAGGATTCAAAGATTAGGGCTCTTTGCCTATGTGCTCCATCATTGTCAACTGACACAGAATATCAACTATTCAGTCCAACCAATCAGATTCATTTGTTCTTTCTGTTGTTGGGAACAACCATAATGTTTTTAGAGAACTAAAGATCATAACAGACTATTCTCTTGTTTTAGGAGGAGGTGGGTCAGCTATTGGAAAGTTCACAGCTTCCCTACGACTTGGTAATCTGAACTTTGTTTCACCCTACAGGTAAAATGGAGTCTTAAGTCAAAATGGAAGTACTTAGGACAAGATGCTTTTGCCTGTTCCCAACAGCACTTCTAATAATTTTATGCACAGATTATCTTACATTATTTTAAAGATTTATTTTATATATGTGAATGTTTTGCCAATCTCCTAGGACTAGAGTTATGGATGGTTGTTAGCCACCATGTGGATAACTGGGAACTGAATCTGAATTCTTTGCCAGAACAACTAGTATTCTTAGATATTATATTTTATTTTTCGAGATAGTGTTGCTATAAGTAATCAAGGGGTTTCAGTAAAGAAGCTACCAACACAACCATTCCATTAGGGGGAAGGTTTCTGTTTTGTTTTGTTTTGGAGACAAGGTTTCTCTGTGTAGCTTTGGAGTCTGTCCTGGAGCTTGCTCTATAGACCAGGCTGGCCTCGAACTCACAGAGATCTGCCTGCCTCTACCTCCTGAGTGCTGAGATTAAAGGTGTGTGTTACCACCGCCTGGCAGGGGTAAGGTTTTTTTTTTTTTTTTTTTGATTTTTCGAGACAGGGTTTCTCTGTAGTTTTTGGTGCCTGTCCTGGAACTAGCTCTTGTAGACCAGGCTGGTCTCGAACTCACAGGGATTCGCCTGCCTCTGCCTCCCGAGTGCTGGGATTAAAGGCGTGCGCCACCACCGCCCGGCCAGGGGTAAGGTTTTTATTGTGGGCAAAAGAGAGAAAATATCCAGAGGCATCTCGGAGAGCTCTGAGCTGAGAGAAAAGAGAGAAAAGAGCTACTTTCAGAACAGCCAAGGCTACACAAAGAAACCCTGTCATGAAAAAAAAAATCATCAGATTGTATCTAGGATCTAGATTTTCTTTTTTTTCTTTTTCTTTTCTTCTCCCTCTCTCTCTCTTCTTCTTCTCCTCCTCCTCCCCCCTCGAGACAGGGTTTCTCTGTGGCTTTGGAGCCTGTCCTGGAACTAGCTCTTGTAGACCAGGCAGGCCTTGAACTCCCTAAGTTTCACCTCCCTCTGTCTCCCAACTGCTGGGATTAAAGGCATGTGCCACTACTGCCCTGTTTAGATTTTCTTTTTTTGTAATTTATTATCATTATTATCATTATAATTTTTGAGACAGTGTCTTATGTAGCCCAGACTGGCCCCAAGTTTTGTGTATAGCCAAGGATAACCTTGAACTTTTGATCTTTCTGCCTTTTCCTCCCTGGGTGCTGAGATACAGGCATACCTCACCAAGCAGTGCTAGACAAGCATTCTACTGAACTACATTCTCAGCCCTCTTGATGTAGATTTTCTAAATTGCAGATCTAATGACTCTGTGTTTTTTTTTAAATATTTATTTATTTATTATGTATATAATATTCTGTCTACATGTATGTCTGCAGGCCAGAAGAGGGCACCAGACCTTATTATAGATGGTTGTGAGGCACCATGTGGTTGCTGGGAATTGAACTCAGGGATGGTTGTGAGGCACCATGTGGTTGCTGGGAATTGAACTCAGGACCTTTGGAAGAGCAGGCAATGCTCCTAACCGCTGAGCCATCTCTCCAGCCCGACTCTGTGTTTTAGTTTGTCCTTTAGAACATAAGTGTGATTGTTTCTTTCTAATTTGTCATTTGTCATCCCTAGATGGGGGAAAGTTGGTGCTTGTTCCAAGATCAGAGTGATGACCTGTACCCAATCCACACATCCTCGGTCACACTAAAGGCTTTTCATAGTTAATTTTGCTTTCTGTCTCTTGCTTGTGTGAAGATGAGCCAGAGATGAGCATGCGAGGGACTCAAAGCCTTATCTTTGTCCTGCTCCTTACTATTTGAAGAGCTCTCGGGGTGACTTCCCAAGGTTAAGTCTCCCTTGTTCTGCATGTGACCTTCTAACCCATTGATTGCTTTTCTTCTGATTCTCCTTACTTCCAGGGTGCCATGTGCTCTTTATTTTCCTTCTCTCATTGTGCGCAGGTTCAATCTTTCCGTTCTGTGTCTGGATGTTTGTGTGGTCTGTTGGCGGTTCCTGTCTTGATTTCATCATCTCCTTGTCTCAGGCTCCTCTTGGCAGCGTCCTCTGTTGTCACCATCCTCTGGGCCAGCTCTCTCTTAATCTCTCTAGTGAGTGATGCTCTATTTTCACATGCGGGATGCATGCATCCCTTTTCCCTGCATATTCACTTGAATGTTCAGAAGATCCAAACCTCGTCTTGGGCTCCTGCCCCCACCCTAAGCCTACTCCTTTTTCTTGTTTAACAGAAACTCAGAATTATCTTATCAGCCAGATTTCTAGAGGACATCTTGTAGACGTCACTAGGGGTGGGTTTGAGGTATGAAAGTTAACTTCCTCTGCTTCTTGCTTGTTTGTGGCTGTGTTTGAGATATTAGCCTCAGTCGCTGCTCCAACTGCCTGCTACTACTCAGCCATTATGGACTATAACCCCTCAGACTGTAAGCCCCTAATAAATTCATCTGGTTTGTAGACCAGGCTGGCCTCGAACTCATGAATATAATGAACAGCATAAATGGGCTCAAAGACAGAAACCTACATGATCATCTCATTAGATGCAGAAAAAGCCTTTGACAATATTCAACATTCTTTTATAATAAAAGTGCTAGAAAATCTAGGGATACAGGGGATATAGCTCAATATAAATTATGACAACACCAACAAGCCCACAGCCAACATCTGCTATATGGGGTGAAAATCAAAACACTTCCATTAGAATCAGGAAGAAGACAAGGATGTCCACTCTCTTCTCTTGTTCAATATAGTACTTATAACTCCTACCTGGAACAGCAGACCAGTGACGGAGATAAAGGGGATACAAATAGGAAAGGAAGAAGTCAAGGAACACTTATTTTCAGATAAGATTTTACAAATAAAAGACC